ATTTTGGATATTAATCGATTAAGCAATTTATTGCAAAAAAATGAAACTCAGTTTTTGAGGAATTTGTTTCCACCTGCAAAAGTAGAATTAGACAAAGATATCAATGGATATTTAGATAATATATTTTCTATTTTTAATAGTAAAGAGGTAATACGAATGCGCTCTTTTTTTCTTATTTTGTTTTGATAATTTTAATTCATTAATAATAATATTTAGATCCTTAATGCTGAAAATATATTCAAAGAAGTGGAACAGAAACGAAAATTAGTAAATTTGGGAATTGAAACTTTAAAAGAGCGCCAAATTACTTTTATTTTTGATATCGTACAAAAATTGTATGTATATTACAGATCTTATTATTAAAAAACTTGTAGAATTATTCTAATAATTGGGAAAGTTGATTTTTCAAATTCTCTGATTTATTGAAATAATAAATTGAATTAGTCTTAAAAAATTCCGAAAAGGAGATTTTTTTTCATTAAAAATGTCTGAATTAAAATTTTGTACGGAAGTTTTAGAATCATGTCTTGATATAATAGCAGATATCGATGGTTCTTATACTAGCTGGTAAGTAATATACATTCTATTATTCTGCAATTATTTTAGAAATTTTATCAAATTTTCTCTATAGGGATTCAGTATCAATATCATCAAAACTTAAACTCCAAAATTCTCAAGAACCCGTAAACAGAACTAGACCAGACTTTACCTTGCAAAATTATTCAAATTATGAAATCTTTACTTTAGAGGTTGCTAGGAGCCTAACAAGTAAAATTCTGAAAAAGATCAAAAATGACTTTGCCAAATTAAGTAAACAATGTGAAATAATATAAATTATATTGTTACTCAAGAGGAAAAAAAAGGACGTTCATATCTAAAAATTTTCAAATCTTTGGAGTATGAACAGAAAGGTTTGACATTTTGATTAAAAGGATGATATCTATTGATTGATATGTTATAATGCAAGAAATTTTCATAATTAAAATTCGTTTAGTATTACAAATTATTTTAAGCTCAAAGTTTTAATTAGCATAGTGATTGCTTTGTCAGTAAGTCTTATTGTTTTACTTTTTTTATGCTTTTGTTTTATATCATTTTTATGTATATGTTTATATTTAGGTTTTTATCGATCAAAGTCTGAAGATTCTAAAAGATAATGTTAAACTTTTTATTTTTCATTTTATACTTTATATTGTTACCAAGCATGATTTAGTATCAATTTGATAATCTGATTTTGTTTTAAAAGATTTAAATAAATATTAAAATTTTATTAAATCTTTAGTTTAAAAAATTTTTTTAATAAAGTTTATAAAATATATTTTGAAAGTATACTTCATATTTTTAATAAATTTTTGGGTTATTTAAAAAAAGAAAATAACTAGATTTACTCTACGGGTATGATATCTTATTTTTTAAGAAAATAAAATTTTAAAATTAACTTTAGGGTTAGAGTGAGTACTATATTAGGTTAGGGTCAAATATTATATGTAAAATTAGGCGCTAAAAACTTTTAATTAGTAACACAAAACAAGTTTTCATAATAAAATTTTGAGATACTAACGATTTTTAATTTTTTTTCTTAATTTTTCTTAAAAATTTCTTTATATTTATTACACAGAAATCCTGTGATCTGATTAGTTAATCATATAAACCGGGTACATATCCATAGGGTACAAATAGAAATTCTTTTTAAAAAAATTGTAAATAATTTTTTAATTTTTCAGGCAAATTTGTTTAGAAAACAATTTAAAAGAAAGTTTGAAATTTTTTGTATTAAATAAAATATAATTTAAAATAATAATTAATACTAATTAATATAATTATATCTAAGCAATTTTTCTAATATAGCACTTGTTAACATTATTATAATATTTATAGTAAACTATTATATTATTGTGTTTTTTTAAAATATTTTCTAGTATGTAATTAAAAAAAATATATAATCTAATCTTATACAATTTGTCTAATAATTAAAAAGTTCAATTTAATTTTATATATATAATATAGAAAAAATTAAACTGGTTTTTATACAGATTACAAATTATATATTATTATTAAAATATCTAATATTATTTTGAAAAAAATTTCAAATTTTAGTTTTTAAATTATTTAATATATTTAATTATAATATTTGTATTAATTTTGGTTTATAATATAATATTAGTATATACTCATCTATAACTCTTTTTAAATAATATAAATATCTAGTTTTATAATAAAACTATATTATAGTTAATATATTTACTTGTTATTTATATAAAAGATTTGTAATTAATTTGTTTTTTTTTTATTATTAAGGTGGCTTCTTTTGCTGATTAGATTTTATTAATTTGTTATTACAGAGCTACTATATAAGTAGTCTCCTAGGGTTTTATAGTTACATGATGAATATATAACAAGCTACATGTACAACTTTAGTCATTATCTAATTTAAGTAGTTTACTATACAGACGATCAACCATCTGTTAGTTCTACACATGCTATCATACCTGCAACCTGCTTGTGAGTTATCTATTTAAACACTCTGATCATTAACCCTTCCTCCTATTCCAAACTAACATCACCACTATAGCCAACTGCTTAAGCTAGCTAGCTTACCTGTGAATCTATTTACTACATAGCTTAGATCCTCTTAGGATACATATGCCTAACATATTATAAGCTGCAAAGCTTTAGTTAATCTTAGAAGTATATCTACTAGAGTAGTCTGTGTCTATTTTACTGATTTACTTAGCTAAGACCCTTGTGGATATTTGTATGATCCCATTTCCTACTATGGTTTTCTACTAGTATTGTTTACAGATCTCGCTGAGGCCTATTACGAGTTAGATCCTTCTAATCTAGTTAGCTGCTAAGCCAAGTTGGTGTTACTGTAATATACAGTGATCACCATTATAATATAGGCTTATATGTACCTAACTCGATTAAAGTTTTTGAGCACTGTATCTTTCTGAATTAAGCATTAGCTGATGTGATCGTTAAAAACTATATTACTTCACCTACTCAGGGTTTCTACTATGCAGGTCTCCTGCTCATAGATTCTATTAAGATTTATTTGTATAATATTATATCTCTCCAAATATTGCATTATATTTCCAATATTCAAATAATATTAGTGCAATATGATTTACAGGGTTATAACCCCAGAAACAAACAGGATTTACTATAAGTTAGGTACAAAGGTCTGAGTAATTATTCAAATTTGTCAACAGTGAGATTTGAACCCAAACCTCTTATATAGCAGTCTAGCAACCTAACTACTACACTAAGATCACCAGACCTTATTAATTTATTTTTTTTATTATTAAGATAGTGTATATTAATAAAGAAATTTTATTATAAAGCTATATATAATAATTTTTAATTATATAAAAAGTATATAATTTTTTTTTTTAATTTAGTAATTATACTAGTACTTTATTTAATCAAATTTTAGCTTATAGCTAAAATATTACTATATAATATTAAAAATAAATAGTGACTATTTTCTAAGTGCTAACTCATCTAGTTACTATTTTAGTACTTGTATATGATTTGCTATAGTAACCTTTAATCTCTTGCTTTTAGTCAACAAAATTTTGAAGACCAAAAATTACTCAGAGGAAAGTTGCCACAGCTCATCATATTACTGTTTATATCTATTTATTTTTAGTTCACTCTGTTACTTTTCTTAATATACTTTCTATTACTATGTTAAATTCTATACTATAGTTTTCTATATTCTCATCTACTCTGCTCTTTTTTCTTTATTAACTATACTAATATCTTGCCCTTTTCACTTTTTCTTTTTGTTCTTTGTTCAGTTGTTTTTTGCTTTAAATTGTTTATCTTTTTTTGAAATCTTTTTTTTCTTCTCTCAATTATTCATTTTAATGCAATACTTTGTTCATATTTTTTATAGATATTTTCATCTAAATATTCCAAAAGATATACTAAAAATCAAGTATTTATTTTTTAAAACTAACTATTTCTTGGATCTTTATCGTGTTGTCTTTGTTCAAGATTCTATAAAGCTATTTAGTTCTTTGTAAATATTCTTTATCTTGTATTGATCTTATGAATACTTGTAGTCTTTTGAGGTTTTATTCTTCTTGTCATTTTTTACTATTTTGTATTTTTTTCTATACTTCTATTTTTATATTATTTATCTGTTTACTAGATTTTTTACAATGAAGTATGTGTTTATTTGTTTCAGTTTCTTTAAAACACCTTTTACATATACTGTTATAAAATAGGTTTTAGCATTTTACTTAATTATTGTATTTTTATATTATTATATATATTTAGATTTAATTATTATTGTTTTTCTTAATAACTTATTAGCTAAAGTTAGATTTAGACTTTACTATTAGATTCAGCTTGATTAGACCTTTTAAACAAGCTATATTTTATATCTGTAGGACTCTTAGTTTTTGAGTTATCTTAGGAATAACTTTAGTATAAGTTACAGTTCTTATAGTTCTTATAGTTCTATTGTCTCTTATAGTACTCAATAAGTCTTGTAGTCAAAAATATAATACTCAATAAAGCTCTAAGTTCTCTACTAGTTCTTTAATAAATATAATCTTTTAGCTTTAAAAATAAACTTTAACTAACGAACTGCTATAGTAATATAATATTCTACTTTGATACTATTAAGAGTCTCTTTCTGTGTTTTATATTACTTAGAGTATATTAAAAAGGCTATACTACTTGTAATATTTTGGTGCCTTCTAGTGAAAATATTAAAAATTATATATATAGAACCTCTCTTTCACTTAAAGAAGCTTCTCTTTCTCTTCTTTGCTGATCTCTAAAACCAAAGAAACCTCTCTCTTAAATTCTTTGATAATCCTCACTTATATTATATAAACTCTAAGAAAGACTCATGGTATGCTAGCAATGATCTATATTACACAAAAAATGAAATACAATTTTCTAAATCTAAGAATATCAAGTTAATAAAATATAATTTTTACAAAAGTATATTAAGACTCTGAAAAGATTATACCTATGACTATTTGGAAATTAAAATCTCTAGAAACTTTACCATTTACATGAGCAGATATAGATGAATAATATATAGATAAACTATTAGAATTATAGTATATCTTAAAGCCTAAAAGAAAATCTAAAAAGAAACTTTCTCAAAAACAATTTATAATTACATATCATATTTTGCTAATATCTCAACTAATATTAAACATAGGAAAATAAAACATATACCTTTATACTTACAAGAACTTTCTCTACAACTTTTATTATAATATATCTTAGTACAAAAATGCTTCACTGATCTGCAAAACAGCTCTAAATGATTCTATTAGTATTTTCAAAATAATTTTCTTAAAGAAGTCCTAAGAAGAGAAGAGAAATATAGTTCTAGTAATTTACAAAAATTATCATATCTCACTCTTCACTAGACTAATTTTAATGTTTCAATATATATTAGAATCATAAGAACTTGGTCTACAACTTTACTTAAAATACTAAATCAAGGTTATATAATACAAATACTCCTTCAGAACAGCTTTTGTAAAATTAATCTGCAAAGTATCTTTTTCTTGCTATGCTACATAGGCAAAAATTTTTGAAATTTTTTCTGCTTCCTATATAGTAAATGACCTCTATAAAACTCATTAGTTTTAGGTTACCATAGACCTATAGTAACTAAAAAAAATAAATTTTATAAACTAAGATATAACTAAACTCTTGAATACCTCATAAAGTTAAAACAACTTTACTTTAGATATATGTAAGACTATTAGATCTATTAGAAAATACTAACAAAGTACTTTTATCAGCAGAAGTTATATGTAAAATATTGCGAAAGATTTTGTATACTGAAAATCTT